GTTTGTAAGAGAAAGATTGATAGCGCAGAAAAATCCGCCAATAATGTAAAACAGTGGCGTGAAATTGTCAGTCATTCTAATATCTCCCAACCTGTGAACGAAAGGGTTAAGCGTGCTGCCTTGAAATCGCCTGCCCGACCACTCCGATCCGATGAACTAACCAAAACTAAAATGGCGCGTGTCACGTGACTTTGTTTACTAAAGATAGCGTGGGCGTTTGATTGACACTCAACTCATTAGTATTCCACCAATCACAGCTACATCTACTTTCTGGATGTGCGCAGTCAAATTGTATAGGAGACAAGCTGGAGTCTCGTGTGGCGATAGCGATAACACCGGGACGAATGGTCTGGGGTAACCCCACCACGAACGTTGAATGGACTGTCATCCGGGTAATTTGAAAACGCCCTCTATCGAATTTCGTGAGAAAAATAGTAACTCGGAAATTAGGAATTGGTGAAGATGGAAACAAAGGTTCGACATTTTATGCAAGCCAGTAAATCTGACCAGGAGGACGAAAATTTGTAGGGTAGCATACTACTTCATGTCATCGGGGGAAGAGGCCCTCGAGGTGTACAACACTTCATGTCATCGTGGGAAGAGGCCCTCGAGGTGTATACAACACGTTTGACATTCCCGCCACAGATAAAGGTAAGATTGGTGTGTTCCAAGAAGATTCTAACCCTAGAACGGCACACGTTTGAACAACACGGAGAGTCTATCGACCATTACGTTACAGAGCTGCGTAATCGAAGTAAGTCATGTGAATTTACCCCCTTGACTGATAGCTTGATAAAAGGCAGAATTGAGTGTGGTATAGAAAATGCAGCATTGCGGGAAAGGTTGTTAAGGAAAACTGACTTAAACCTGACAAGAGCCATTGACATTTGTCGCGCATCTGAGCAGTCAAAAAGTTATATGCAAGACTTGTCCGTGAACGAGGATAACGCTGTACACACAGTGCAATAAAGGTCTCCTGCAGTAAAGTTTAGTGCTAAACAGAAAGTGACAGAAGAAAGTACACGAAAGTCAAGAAACTGAAAGGAAATTAAAATGTCGCCGATATGATCGTGTACATGCTACTAGAAAATGTCCGGCTTATGGTAAAACATGTAGAAAGTGTAAAGGTAGAAACCATTGCGCAAAAGTCTATCGAAGACAGTTTTTTTTGGTGCCAGGCGACAGTTCCGACCATTGAATGTCACTGTTGTCTCTCTTGACTTGTTTTTTGTATGTGCAAATTGCAAGTGCTGGTGCTGACACATAATGGATTTATCACAGAAGTCATATTCATGTCTGGGACTACATGACAGGGCTGTGCGGCCATCTTCCTATCAAATAGGAGTTTAATCGCTATCCTGGTGTCGACTCTTTTGATGTTCAGCCTGGGGTAGGATTTGAACTTGGGTCTACCGATCATGAGTTTGATGCGACAACCACTATGCTAAAATAAAATGCAGTTTAAATTGGATGCAGGTGCCCAAGTAAATGTCATCCCAGATAGAGTATACAGTCCCACGAATAAAAAACCAAAGTTGAAGAAATCAGATATACGCTTGACATCATATGGTGGTCACAAGATTAGAGCATTGGGTGAGACAACATTAACTTGCAAACACAACAATACAGAGAAAAGACTTGAATTTGTTGTAGCAGATGTAGTGTCAAAATCTACCCTAGGACATAATGCCTGTCAAAGTCTTAATTTAATACAAAGAGTGATGACTATAGACAGTAGTAATATTTTGAGTGAATATAGTGATTTATTCAAATGTTGTGTTGAAGGAGAACACCACATTCGGCTTGATGAAATGGTAATAGTAGAAAAGGAAGACAAAAGCCTAAGAGTTTGCCTAGATCCACGTGATTTAAACAGCTGTGAAACGTGAACATTTCCAATTGCCTGCAGCTAACAAAGTGACTAGTAAGTTATCCGGTGCTACAGTTTTCATCAAACTAGATGCCAATTGCATGGTATGCGACTCATGACTTCCTCGAAAAAGTATGTTACTTGTGCACTAGGGCTGCAATTATATATCACCTGATTTCGTTTCGGTATTAAATATTGAACTGAAAAAGGTTGTAAATCAAATAAATGACATAGTTGAACCTGGTGACCTTGTCCTTTGTTGTATAATATTATTTCCTTTATCAAAGTGTTTCAATTTAATATGCATATTTATATTGTTATAATTTATTTTGAATGCAAACAAGGTTTAGATTTGAAGCGAAAAGCTGTATACCGAATGTCCTTGATTGATGTAAATAACTTACAAAAACATTGATGCCTACTTTGTTTAATTATTTTAAGGGACATAATTTCAAGATTTATTTAAAGTAATTCAGATATTTTAGTATAAAAACAAATGCCTTGTTTCAGAAAAAGTGCTGCATTTAGACGTGAATAGATTTGTAAAACATAACAGACAATCTCAGCTGGCCTTTGCCCAAGTATTTTATACAGGTGTCTGTCAAAAATTAATGATTTACCGAGACAAATATGAACTGCCTTATTATATTCATTGTGTGACTACTGTATTTGAAAAGTAAAAAACGCCCTCTAGAAATAACTATCATGATACAAGCTCTGCTTTGTATGCAAATCAACTCAAATAGTCAGTTGGTATCCAGCGGAGAGAGAAGTCAACAGTACTGTTGCCTCCTGATAATATACATCTTCAAACACTGCAATCTTTGTTTTGGAAGTGATTTTTTTAGTTAGTATTTAAGATTGTATTGGTAGGTTTGCAAATGTGTATCAGACTGTGCAACAACTCTCTCCATGAGTTGGCATTGAAACCCGGTCTAGTATTTCCATGGGATTTGGGAGATACATTACAAGATTTACTCCATCGAACACATACAGCAATGCATATTCCCACTGGGATCAGTGACATTTGAATGAATGAACCATTGATCATTCAAGTAGAAACAGTCCAAATGTTTTATCAGATTTTGACTACTACTTTTTCACCCTGGACATCTGTCGTTCCTACTAAGGGAAGATCTTATACTGATGAACTAGATGGCCAAGTTTGATAAAGTTTGATAAAGTTTGAAATAGAATTAGTAAGGTTATTGTGCACACATTAACAATTATTAACGACGACAAACATTTTCCCCTTAATATACCTTTCCCTTTCATCTTTGATGATACGAGCAAGGTAAAAATTGTAAAGCCACGTGAAAAAGAATGTTTAAAGTAATTTTGTCTAAATTCGAGGCGCACAGATGTTTTTTGTTAATCCTAAAATTGTCATGTTTGAGCTTTTATGATTATTTTACCTATTTATCGCGATGACCAGCAATATGAATATAATTTAGGGTCCAATACCTTGCAGTAACGCATGACTTAATATACTTACTTAAAAATTGATAAACTTTTTTTTCTTGACAATGAACATCAGGAAATGACATTTCTTCCGTCCGATTACAGATCAACTGCGCTAAGTTGTGCAGTACCTCTACTAGTACTAGCCCGAAGGGAGTGGGGCTCAGGTGATATCTGGGTGAACTGCGAATCGTGGAAATATTGTAATTGAAATCGAATGAGGTTAGCTTGATCGTAATTGGCACCCAAAGGTCACAATGGTTTTGTTTGCGATTTAAATCACGGCAACGGATATTTGATATACATGCCTACATATACTGCCTTCTAGATGTATACAATATAACCTGTGTACAAACATGAATAACAGTACACTGGGAAGTGGGCCACACAACGGTCCCTGAGATTCACCGTACATTTGTATTTTAGTGGCCAGCCATTTATTTTGAAAACAAAACACCTAGTAGAAACATGAAATAGCATTTCTTTTAATATGAAAACTTATTAGATCAGCGTGTTACAATGATTAAGTTGTCTCTCGAAAAAATTAGCAATAGATACACTTGTGACGTCACTGCATATTTTTTCTTTAAATTAGTCTTTAAAAACGGCAATTTCCCTCTAGGCAATCTGAAATAAAAAAGAGAAAAAAATGAAATGTTTCTGGCGTAGAATGGTGATTGCTATGAACTAAATACGAATACATTTCTAATTGGGCATGCATAAGTTGCTGTAAATACGGTAGCTAGGCTATAACTCGATAAATTATAAACAAACGTAAACGTTCAACATATTGCATCAACTACACGTACTTTGAAAGCCGATAGCAGCAAAGCGATTCAAAAGCTATTGGTAAAAATAAATGAGTACGACACATAGGATGAAAACTTTATCTTCTCTTATAATACACACACTCTTGTTTAGTTTACAATAGACACGAAAATTGCATGCATGTGTTAACTTTTCTTATTTTTTTTTATTTTCTTAACACCCTAAGTTAACATTCCAATGTAATGTACACGACATGAATATTCACACTATCAGGCACGCGACGAATGTATAGCCCTCCCCATTTTGTAAGTAAAAAAGGCCTAACCAATCATTTGTGGGTCTTTATTAGCTGATCTAAAAATAGCTGCCCATAAAGGCTGTACAATTAATGCTATTTATGACCAACTTAGGGTAGAGTAGGATTCTACCTTGAAGGGCGGCGGTAGTCGCGCTGAGCGTTTTCGAATTGTACGTAAACAATGTATCTGATCATCCTGTATGCCACTACCAATCCTATAAGTAATAATAGATGTAAGTAATATGGAAACCTCATAAACAAATTATTCATGATCTCTTTTCTATTGCATGCTAGACAACACATTTTCCACTCCAGTAATCATGTACGTTTTAACTAATCACTTGGTTCTTCAATTGTATAAAGCACGTTATAAGACACGCTGTTTAGCTGTATAATAAACATAGGGTACGGTATCTGTCTCCTATTTATGAAGGAGTTATTTGAAGATTTATTGCAAAATTGTATACTGGTACATTAAAGATTTACGTACTGCTGAAAACTGAATATTTCAGAGCCATATGTCAGTATGGGTAAGACCATTGATTCAAAGATCTTGAAAAACAGCTTTATTAGATAAATTACTTATTGTTCTAGATGTTTTGTTTAGATTATCGCAATAATGGCTTTTGCTTCTTGTCGTACAACAACTTTAGTTGCAGCTGACATTCCACTTTCTACAGAAAAAATAAATTAAAACACCGAGATATATGTAATACGCGACTACTTTCACTCCTTTGGCCATATAAAACAATTGTTCATGCTCTAACGTATGACCGTTTATAAAAACAGAGATTAGTTTTTCCTCTACGTCATTTTCCCCCTTTTCGCAGCAAACACTGAGTCTGAAATTATAGCAAAGTCATCTGCGAATTAGAAAAGCTCGAGAAGATTTATAGGAGAGTTGAATACCTTGTTGACCAAGTTTCTTTCAAGTTCATTGATGAAAAGAAGAAAACGGATATATCATACGGCCTTGAAGTACACCAACTTCATACGCACGACGTAATTCAAGAGCACACATTTGACAGAATTTTAAACATGTTACTGCTTATTACCTCATTATTAATATACGCCAAAGTCTGTCTGCCTGACAACCTTGTCGAAGGCCTTGACAAAGGCAGAGTGAAATTTGCCTCGTTTTATGTTATATATATATATATTATTATATATATTATTGATTGTAAGATAAATATGCTATCTGATGTAATATATCCGCATCGGAGTCTCGCCTGTGTTTTGTCAATTCTTTCAAGAGTCTAGTGATTTTCTCTAAAACATTAGTTAAATTGATATATAATGTTCTGGTTTTTCGATACGCCCTTATATTGGTATATTGGAAGTATAATTGCCTTTCCCGAGTCATTTGAACATTTTCCAGATTGATTGAACAGAAGTAGATAAGGTTTCAGTATACCCTCCGACACTGCACATTATTTGCTAATATAATAAGACGTATGGTCCTGCTTGGTTTTCAGGTTTAATACACAAAATAGGTAGTCAGACTTTCTCCATTTTATATATTCCTGTCGATTTCTCCACGGGAGCTGTGTAGGCATTCACAATTCATTCTAATGCTTTTAATAGTTTTAATTCATCAGATAAAACAATGATATTTGTTTTTTGATGGAACAATAACATACCAAAATATTTAATTCGTTTATTGCGTATTTAGCTATTCTGAGCGTAATTGTGAAGTAACGAGGCTGGCGTTACAAAAAGCTCATCTACGGACGACAGATGAGACAGATAACGTAACTTGCATTATCGCTAACTGTGGGATTGGCACCATGTAGACTGTCGACAGTTCTGATTTGTTAATATACTAAATCGGCAAACGCCAAAGGCGTTAACAAGAAATGCCACAGGCATTTCAGTGAAGGGAGGCATGAGGACTGTTAACGCTTGTAAACGCCCTCACGCGACATACGTGGTTTTTCATAGGTACTGAACATGAGCTGTCAATCATTCTCTGTTTAGAACCGGTGGAACAGAACGTAATGTCGCGTGATGTCGTTTACAGGCGTTAACAGGTCTCTGGCCTTCGCTGAAATGCCTGCGGCATTTTTGGCAAACGGCTTCGGCGTTTGCTGATTTAGTATACTAACAAATTAAGCCCAAGGACTGTCGACAGTCTAGGCACCATGGTAAACGCCAAGATACAAACATTGTACTCTATATTTTATATATCCAATGCCATTTTTCAGAATAAAGATTCACAGTTAATGTCAACGTACTTCAGTTAGGCTTTATTCATTATTACATAACCCAGTATTTCATACAGCATTATAGGTAATTTTGAACCAATTATTCAATAAACCACAAGTACGATATCACGTGATACACTTAGTAAATACCACGTGTATAAGTTAATACACACCAACAGTAAAACTATCACCTACCTGCATTTATCAACACCAAGACACTCGCTTAAGCAAGATTCACGTTTCTTGGCTGACGCACTTTTTTGAAAAGAAAGCAGAAGTGGTCATCTTTTCCGAATAACTGTTGAATAAACAATAAGTGAAAAACATGTGAGGAGGCAGTGAAAAGGTATTTTCTTCTATACCACGGGAAAAGTATGTGACTAGTATGTGATAGCCAAAGTAGAAGTCTGTAGCTTTCGTAACCATGTGCGAGGGATACAAGACGAGGATTCCATTTGGCATCGTCGAGATAATTCATTCAAAGCACACAAATACTAGTTTTAATAGCATACATATAATACTTTTAATCAATAGGATCATTTGGCATTCTGAATGTATATGAAATAAATTTTACGAGACTACCAATAAAAGCTCGTTTGTTTGCCTAACTTTAATGTACGTACGTGGCTTGTTACTCGTAATGCTTTGTAATTTTCCTTGAAAGCACATTCATCTATAATTTAATTAATTATGTAAATAACAATATATGTGTATGCATTAACTAATCCTTACATGTTTAATGCATTGCAGACTCTTCAGTTCGACCAAGGAGAATCGGTATTCATCATCGGTGTGTGGTATAGGTAATCTCAAATCAGTGATCATTCGTATGTATATAGAGTATGATCGATATACATTAGGAACAGATAATAACTCGGGGTTCCGTGTCATATCTATAAACAAATGTAAAATGTTTGAAACATTTATTATCAATGCATGTAAATTTAAATTATTTCAATGAATACTGAATTTGGGTTTGTTTATTGGAATTTAAGTTGAATAATCAAAGACTTGACACGTTCCAACCCTTACTTTCTATTGTGACCTCACGAAAAAACATCCATCCACCAGGTTTTATCCACTTCAAAGCATTCGTTGCAAATTTTCTTGTTTCGTCGTCATCCAGATATTGAAGTAAATAGTTGGAAAAAACTAAATCACAACTACAGGAAGATAGACAGACAGTAATACGAGCGAAGTAATTTATGAGAAATTTCACATAGACCTTAAACGTAAATTGACGCAGAGATCTCGTTGAGGGCGAGAAAGCCACAAGTCTTCTCGATGAAGGAGTAACGTCTATTCGATATATGCTGAACAAGGAATGTGGTATGATAAGCCGTGTGAACGGCTTTCCCTTTCCCCATTCGTCAAAACAGCACTAGAGAACGCGATTTATAGGAAGGGGGTATTGACACTGTACATGACGCACAAAGACTTTATTTACTCTGGGGTTTTATTCGATAAATAGGCATAGTAATAGTTACCTCAGCAACTAAACAAAAATTATAACATTAAACACTTCTCACCAGTCAGTGTTTAGGTTTAGATGAACCACATCGGAAGTAATGAAGTCAATATTTCCAATGTGTCCATTCGAAGCTCTGTTTGCTTCCGTGTACTCTTCCACCAATTCCACCGCTGTCACATGATTTGCTGCACTGGCAAGTGGTGCAGTATACCGTCTGCAGAAACGAATAACTCAATTAATTTTTGCATGTATCTGAAATATTCTAATATATGAGCAACCGATGTTGTCATGATGGTAAGGTGATTGTTCAAGATAGCGTAGAAAGTTGATATATTATTTTAAACCCAAGTCCCCTTTTCAAATTCTGGCTAATATTCAACTCTCTACAATAATAAAACGATGCCGATGACGCAACAGGTCCTTTCAACATATTGTAACTGCAAATATTGTGACTTTATGAAATGCGCAACGATTATTAATGCAAGATATTTAACATGTATTATTTTAACATTCATCGAATAACATGTATTAAAGAAAACATTAAGCCAAACAACATAATGCCCCCAAGCAAAAGCCCCACAAATGTAGGAGAATGCAATTTACAGTTATTTTATATCACTTTTCATTCTCTAGATATTCAAATTTTCGTCAGTATTATGTAGTCAGCCATCTTGATTCTCAAGCAAAGGATTGTAGGTAAAGTATGACATCATAGAATCTGTTGTCAGAAATTAAGAAAATGATTTCATCTATAACATGAGAAATACCGATGCGAATTATTTCAAATTGGCGTTGTGCATATTACTCATATATATGTTACAAATACACATAAAGTGATGATATTGCCAAAACGCATCTGAAGTAGACGACGACGAGTAGTTAGTTTTACCCAACAAGTTATCGGGAGTACTTTCCGCAGTGACGTCATTTTATCATCGTTCCAACTTAAGAAAATGGCTGCCATCGGAGTTACGTGTGGTTTGGAGATATAAATCGTGGGAAAAGAACATCAAACCATATACCTCCATGATCAAACTAATGATTTTTGTCACGATTGGACCAATAACCAGTAGTGCCCAAAAAGCTACTTGTACAGTTCCGGGTGTCTGATTTGAAAATGTATCGATGTAAATCAGTCGTATAATAGTTTTCTCGGAAAATCACCTCATGAGGGAGGATGTATTTAGTTCTTTATGTCTATGTGAGGGATTAAATTGAGTGTTATTAAACCTTCACGTCAGAGGTACCAAGTTCGGGGAATTCTCTGCTTTTCTATCGAACAAAGACACAGAGAGAATCGAATCGTTTCAACCTCTCATCTCAGCGCCACGTCGGAACTCTCTCAAGACCGCGTTCAGACTGCCTGTCTTGTGAGCCTGCCACAACTCTGAGATCGGCTTTATTCACTTTCCAATTTTTAACCAATTACAGAGCTTGAGGCGTAGCTTCCACACATATAGCCAATCACACAAGGTATTTAACACGCCATAATGTCAGATTAATTGCCCCCGATGTCGGGACATAACTCTCATATTTATAGGCGCCTCGTTGACTTAACCAACTTCCATAGTCGACAATTATATCAGCCAGTTGTTCCATTTGCGAATTCCCTAATCATGACATCTATTTGGATGTGAAATTGTATATATGCAAATTTGTTCATTATAAATGGATGAAATACTGTACTATGTTTTTGGTCGCGGGAGGACGCAGCTAAGCACGTTGCAATAATACTTAAAATTGTCATTTAATTAGTCACACCCATATGAGCTGTATCTACCGCTGCTAGAATAAAATACATACCCTATTCCCGCACCAAGGTCGACCACATTCTTCCCTTCCAGAGGTGGCAAAATAGCAAGGATTTCGTCAATTTCATAACGGCTCAGTTCGTCAGCTTTAGGTACATTTAACACTCGTTCTATTCCTGTGCACGCCGTTGATCGATAGCTCCAGTAGGACTTTCGCATAGCATGCTGGGATAGTGGCTCTGCATTGACACATGTGATATAATGGTTATTTCTACGCACTACGCAAAAGAAATAATCCCGTCTTTAGACTTCGACAAAACGAATATATCTGCGACACCGACAATTCTTTATTTACATGGGTGATCAAAGCTAAAACGTAACTATAACTAAAAAACGTAACTATATCGTTGGACTTCATGACACGTGCTGTAATACATTTATTACATGACTTCCAGATGATACCACATGAATACCACTCCAAATAATTTCATGCATCGACGGGTAATTATACCCAGCCAAAAGGTATGTAAGAGGCGTGAAAAACACAAAAGCGGATGCAAAGCGTGGATGGCAATTTTAGAAAGAGGCCCAGGGCGGACGATAAAACAATAGAGCGTGGGTCCACAAACCATGGAGGTAGGAGGCACTAATACAATAGAGTGCGGATGGTGTAAAACAAATCAAAGGACTGACTTGCAAATAATAAACAAGATTAACGATTAAAAACGCAGACTACAGGCCGATGACCAAATTAAAAATGATTAAAAGCAGGCCATTATTGACTTGAAAAATAGCCGGTCAAAAACAAAGACGTGGCGATGACATTTTCGGAACTGACGCCGACAATAAGCCGTAAAACAGTACAATCCAGGCGTTTCTTTACAACGAGTAATAGCCGTCGCCACGTGTGAGCCGTCGCCGAACTCACGCAGTGTTGGAATAAACTCTGATACAACTTATTATATACCGGCCTTTCTTGTGTGTGCGCACATAGCAAGTATTTCTGAGCTTCGTTTTGTAGTGCAATGCCAGTGTATGTAAAAAAAACGCGAGGCATCTGGACCACTTACAACGCAGTGTCTCTTTTTAGACGGGAAGACGTAAATTTAGGTCACCGCAACTTAAATTTTATGTTGTTCGTGGTTGCCATGACTACAATATGCGTCAAACGCGTGTAGTAAGTGAAGAACACTCAAAAAATAAAATGTCATTGCTCCAAATAAAATAAAATTGGTTATTGGGATTATTGAACTAATGAATCTACACTAGTATAAAATGCCGTCATTGTTGAGAGTGAAGTATGTATGTTGTTTTAGTTACTGTGATCATAATTGTTCAGACCCGTGTTGTGATGTATCTATGTGGGACGTGAAAACGTGTATTTGGGTACCTGAGTGTCATGGTGTATAATCCCAAGACACCTCGTTCGCACTTTCAGCCATGTTTTGAAAATATGTTCGTTGATTATTATATTTACAATATATCTGTGAGCAACTGTTTAAACAAACGAAGTTTGTAATCGCCATACTGTTTGTGTTTGTTGTTATAAATGCATTGCCCCCGGAAAGGTGTGAGACCTAATTTGCATTCAGTGTATATAGGTCAAAAAGTCAACACAATGTCGATCTTGATATGACAACTTGTAAAAGGCTATAAACAAACGCGTTTTTAAAATTAGATAGTTTAAAAATATAATATTTATGCGTTCTCATATTCTGATCCAGGTTTGGAGTGTTTTCATCAACAACAATTGTCAATGAAATAGTCCCCGTCATATTTTTAGTGACTTTCTCAAACAATGAAAAGCAAAGTAAGCTCATGTTTAAATAGTATTTAGCATATTACTGCAAAAGGCTAAGTTTTAATGAAATTGGTCACGAAACTGAAACTGCTAATGATATGTCCAAATGTTGATTTTCGGGACAATTAATGGCTGTCAGATGAAGGTCAACAAAATAAAACAAAGCGAAATTCAAATGTATCATGTCCATGCATGCACAAGAAATGACGGACAGAAGATGCACGTGACAGTCAAAGGTCAGCCATTTTTTATTAACTTGCAAAACTGATTTGTATCAGGGGTAAATTCTTCTCCTCTGGGGTTCTGCACACGTGACAGGGGGAATCTCGTTTGGCCTCTATAGCGCGTCCCCTTGAGGTACGGGGTCGGGAAAGTCACTTATACTTTACATTCAAATAAGACACGCACAACGAAATACGTTTCAACTCTCGTCTTAGTCGGTCTGTGGAGCACTCTATAAGACACAGCACCCTGGGGAAAAGTCCCCAAGACTATCGCAAGGCTGACCAAAAACTAGCCCAAGACTGGACTGCCTCAAGGCTCGCCCCAAGACTCTCCAGGACTGGACTGCGTCTGTCCTCGTGTACTCGCCAAGACCAACTAAAACAACTTTATTCATTTTCAAAACTCTAACCAATTACAAAACAGTATTAATACCAACTGTCAGAAATAGTAGTCCGAATAGCGACGGTTATCTCGTAATAAGTTCCAAATCACTGAGCCAAGTTCCGTCCAAAACTTCACATGGCCTAAACGGTGCCAGACATAACACAGCCATTCAGCTAATTAAGTCGACTAACAGATACACAAAAACAATTTCATCAAATTTGCATCAGTCGCGCATCAGAAATGATACAGACTGATACCAACTGTTTGGAAGATAAAATTGACCAATATTGAGAATTTGTTTTTAATAATTACACTGTTCAAATTAGCAGCCACCATTATCCGAAAATACATTACTACAAAGCTACTTGACAATGATCACCTTACCGGTCTGTAATCTTTCACATTTGGGCATAGGAATGGGTTTTATTTCGATATCAACACCTCGCAACATAATCATTCTCACATCATACAAATAAAACTGCATAATCCACACCAACTAAATGTAACTAGGTTTTATTTTCAAAGTTTGGTTAATAGAGTAAAAGCAGAAATTGTTAAAATAATCGAAAGTTTTGTTTCACAGCAGAAATCAAACTATTTTTGTAGGTGCTTATGATAAAGATGATCTGCATTCAGTAACTGGAAATACCCTGCAGTCTACTTATTGAAGACATTTGATCACAGTTCAGGGCAGTTTACTATAGTAACAGCTAGTAGTATTCTATAGAAATGGTATTTGGTATATCTCTATATGGTAATTTCATTTAGTAAGTTCTCAACGTTCAGTGTATACGTATATATTCAATGGCACCTTACGTATGGCAGGATGCCCACCATCCACTCAAAGAATGGTTGGCGAGGGGAGTACAGTACTAATACAGCAAAAAAAAAGGTATTTAGGAGTAAAGGGTGCAGCTCTATATTTTAGTTTGATATTGCTGGTTTCGGCCCCTGGAAAAATATTGAGGCGAGTGGAACAGCACAGGAGAAAAACCTCTGAACTAGAAACCTGCAAAAGTGTTCATCAAATCAAAAAAATTACAAATATTCAATTTCATTTTGTATTCAAGAAAAAACAAACACAATAACGTCATGAAATTGGATAAGGTTTGCTGAGGACTGTAGTTTACTGGTAAAAAGGAACGCATGCAAACAATAAATATAGATGGATCTGTTCCTCAAAATGGCGCCCACATGCACGCAATACAAGATTTGATTTCAATTGGCAGAATGGGAATAAATCACGAGTCACAAATTGTCATAGAAATTCCAAAACTTTCACTTTCCCAGTATGATACGTGTAGTCGAATTGAATCTTGTTTACGCATGCTGGCGAAACAAAGGCGTTACTATTCAATCATGTCGTCACGATCGCTGGCAAAAGCCAGGCCACCACGCCAGTCGATGTACCCCAAAACGTCATGCAAAACAGACATTAAAATATCGCACATGTCATGTGCACTATTTACCCTGTGCCGTACGAAATGGATATTTTCTCCCAGTATGCGTCTGACAGATGACTGTCCAAGTACGAGGTAATGAAAATGATGTCACCAAACACCATTTATTTATCATTGAGTAATGCCAAGTTTGAATGAAATCGGTCAACGCATGTCCAAGAAACGGTTGATGTCATGTTTGAATTTTTTGTGATTTTATTCGTTTTTGACAAAAATGACCGCCATTCGGCTAAAGTTCGATTAAAACGAAAGATAACTGAAAACAACAACAAAGTCTGCCATTTTAAATCGAATCACGAAAAAAAAATTAACGTGCAGCAGTAACTCACCATGACTGATATCAATGCCAAGTTTGAATGGAATCGGTCGATGCAAGTCCGAGAAATAGTTGATGACATGTCCAACTGTTGATTTGGGGGGGGGGGCACCGATCGTTAGCCGGTCAAAGGTAAACTGAATCAAAAATAAATCGACGATCACATGTCTCCCATTATGACTTGTATTTGTACCAGCTTTGAAGAAAATCTGTCCAGGCGTCTCTGACAAATGATGACGGACGCACGGACGGAACCCAAACAAAGGTTTACGACTACTATTATACTGGTATACCTATTTAAAAAGTCAAACCCTCAGGCGACAACTTCGCGGCTACAAGAGCGTGAATAAAGAAAATAGGTTGCTGCTTAGCGTTACAACGCAGTGCTATGACCGCTCTGGTTTGACTTCAAGACTCGAGCTAGAAAAGTTAGTTCCAATTACAGCGACTTTATGAATTATTTATCAGAATTATAATACAGTCAGGCTATCGCCGGAAACTGATATCGTCTGAGTTCCAATTTCCAACGCCTTTGCCGTGTTTTTTTTATATTAAAAACAAAATGATTTCAGCCATTCAACTTGGACGGTAAATTACATTGTATCGTATTTTATTAAAAATACCGTTCACAGTGAGCATTTTTGTTTCGTTTAATTAAGGTAGAGATGCAGGTTCGTGGGTTCTTGGGAGTGATTTTTGTTTGCTTTTTATTATCCAAACAATCTTGGCTATAGACTGTTAAAATTTTGTAGAATTGTGAATAGTGGAACATACTCAAAAAACGATTTTAAAATATAGATAACAGGTGCAAACATTCCCTCTTTTGAATGCTTAGCAGGATTTAGCAAGGCTGTACATAAATAATAAAAAAGAAACATGGTGAAAAAAAGAAATGACGGGATCTCCATATTATGCACTATATTTAACTTTTAACAAAACGATAATACATTTAAATTTGGAACTGTTACAGCTATTTTAATTATGAGCATTAGCAAACTTCTTACTGAATGAATTGTTATGCAAATTAGCAATT